GCTTTGGGTTAAAGAATATTGAACATATACTAGCTACTCAAATAACTGTGAACCGTTGCTGATAACCCATACTAATATGAAAGTATGCTATTAAAATGATCCAAATCTGTTAGCTAGAGCACATTTATAGAGGTCTGATTTGCCAGCTCTGTTTACCTTGTGGTTTTGAGTAAAATTATAATATTTAGAAAAAAGCTCCCAAAGTTGGTAATTCAGACAGGTAATCTCTTTTAAATTCAAATTAACCGACTGATACGTATTTTGGGCTATATGCTCTCAGAAGGTAATAGCTATTCAATATGATTAGAATACTACCCATCCCAGTACCATGCATACACGAGTAGCTATTAAGTAAAGAAAGACTTCCCAAACATAAGGCATTAGTAGAGTGAAAAACAGAATCAAGAAGACTCAAGTCTGGGGCTTAATTGCTGTTGGACCTGGGATAAGTGACTGAACCTGTTTGTTTCCTCATTTCTACAGAAATCTGCCCTTCCTGCTTTCCCAGAAGCTTGTGAGGAGCAAATGGGGCAGGGCAGCCGTGGGTGCGTCCAAGTCTTTCGTATACTGTAACATACTGTAATTCCATAAAGCATTATTAAACTATGTTGAAAGTATAACAATATCCCAGTCTGTACACGGGCGTCAGAGAAACACAGAGGTAAAATTCTCCCTGTCTGGTGCTATGAATTACTGCTACAGTCACTTTCAAGCAGGGCCCTACGTGAGATAAACCTCTAAATTTAAGCTTCTTTCAACCCAAGCCAGCTGAAATAGTTTATTGTGCTTTAGGGTCATTCTGTGACCTATCTGATCATCCTGGTACCCTCAGTGCAGTGTAGGGAAGGTCCACACGGGTGCAGAAAAAGCTTAGAGGGGAAAGAAAATATATGCTGCAGTTTTTACATTGTGTTTATCTGTATGAATGAGTAATAGTGTTACACAAAGAACCCCCACAAAGAGCTGAGGTAATTGTCTCATGACATTAGTAAGTGATTTCAGCACACAAAGGGAACGAGATGGCAGTAATTCAAGCAGTCCAAATGATTCTGAAAAAGGACACCGACACTGAAAGAACCAAAGAGTGCTACCACCTTGGAGAATTTAAATGTTTCAATCCACAAGACAGGAATCAGTGTACATATCAATAAGGAAATTTTAGGTTGATTGACACTTTATTATTTGAGAATGATTTATAAATGAAAGACAAATTATTTCCCATGCCAACTATTTACCACATTTTCTCCTTAAATCTTTTTTATTAAATCTCTCCAAAAACAGCTCTGAATTGTAAATCAATTCAGTAATTCCAATATTATGTGCTGAGTATCCCCCAAACAAACTGGCTAGTGAGCTGAAGCAGGTATCCCACAAACTAGGTTCACACTGGGCAGCACATGCAGAGTGAGGGTCTTGACCAGTCAAACGTCCTTGACCTAAGTGGTGTGTGGTGTGACCTCTCAGTGCACAAAGAAAAACACAACTAAAATATTATGAAATCTGAGATTAATTTTTTTCAAGAGTGGCACAACTTTTCTAGAAACAGAGTCATAGCAAGTTCATTTTTTATAGCTGTCCAGAATTTGTTTTTTTAAAAACAGCCTTTAACAAGCAATAATTAATGTCAATTCTCTTCTTCTTCCCCATCCCTTGAGTGAAGCCTCAGCATTCCTTTAAATGCCATTGTTTCAGGGGATATCAGAGTAAATATGCAAGATGATACCTACTTGCCAATCTCTGGGTTAGTCTGTAAGAGGTTCTGGGAGATAGTGATACAGGTTTAAACTGCAATAGGAATAGGAGACAGTGGAGTATCTAACTGGTGGCTCTCAGAAGCTTGGAGAGAATGGATTTTGAATTTTAACTGGGGAACAGTAAATTCCATCCCCTAAACTGAAAGGTGCAAATAGACGCCTTATGATACAGTTCTTCCCATATTCCCTCACAGTATTTGTGCTAGGCATATGCATAATCGTTAACTGAGAGCATCAAAATCTAGCTCTTTGTGGGGACTGTGTGATAAATTACTACAGAGGAGGAGAATTCACCTTCTATTTGACAACACTGATATTGAAACCAAGAGTCCTTATGACTTCGATTTAATTTAGTTTTATACTAGCTCTAGAAATCTCTCCCTCTCCCTCCCTCTCACCCTTTCTCTATCCCTCATATACCTACCTTTCCCCCATCATCAGCAACAACACCCTGCAACGTAGCAGGAAACAGTACCTAGATCATGGTAACATGGTCTGGACCTCTGACAGGCTAAGGATAATATCTTAACCCAAGTTATGTTTCAGTTCCTGAGCCCCAAGGTAGAACGACACCCTGACTACTTTCCCATTAGACCCAAACCTCGGAGCTGTCTTCAAGACCTGGAAAAATGATTCATTACCCTTTCCTCACCTCTGACCAATCAGCGCCCCAACCCCTAACCCACAGTGTCTTGGGATTTTGCGCTATATAATCTGTAACCTACAAGCTACCAGGGAGTTGGGTCTTTGGCATCAGCTCTCCATCTCTGGATTGGTCAAATACAATAGTAAACTATTTTTCTTTCTATACTGCAATCTCCTGCTCATACATTTCTTTGGGCCAGTGCGTGCAGGCAGGCGGACTCAAGGAAAAACATTGGGGCTCCAGTAACAATATTCTTAAGAGCACATAAAGGCTTTACATATACTATTCAGAGATTCCCAAAAGAGGGGATAAATGGATAGGAAACCTTCTAAAGGTCTTAGGAGAGAGGACTGAATCTTTACAATCATGCAATTATTAAAACATGTAAGGTGAATTGACACTGTCCCCTGAAATATGTTTTTGTTCCCATTAGAACTGATTTGTTATGCAGGAATAAATTCACATAATTTTTTCACGGGCAATGTATATTCTTTTTAATGTTAACAAGCATGGAGGAATATTTTATGGTAATTTTAGTGACCAGAATATGATACTGCATTGTAATGATTACTTGAGTATACAGAACCTACTAAGTTCCAGGTGCAGAGACTTTAAAAACAAACAAACAAAACAAAAAAAAACATGTAGCCCAGCCGGCGTGGCTCAGTGGTTGAGCGTCAACCCATGAACCAGGAGATCGATTCGTTCAGGGCACATGCTCAGGTTGGGGGCTCAATTCCCAGTAGGGGGCGTGCAGAAGGCAGCCAATCAATGACTCTAATTACTGATGTTTCTATCTCTCCCTCTACCTCTCTCTGAAATCAATAAAAACATAGTTTAAAAAAAACAAAAACAAAAAAAACATGTTCGGTGATCAAGAACATTATACCACATCTTTAAGGCTGCAGACAGAGTGGAACATTCCAGTTTAGAAATACATGAATTCCAAAGGACTATGGTCTCATTCAGCCCCAAACAGCCACAATTTGTTTCTAGGGCTGGTAAATTCCCCTCAGGCAGTGACTTTTGTAAAAGGGAATAAGAAAGGTTTCCATTCCTTCTGAGCATTCTCAAGATCCTTTGCTGCACTCACATTTAACCCAAGGGCATGAGAGCAGACTATTTACTCTGAAACTGCATTTCTTTAATACAGCTCTGGAGAGGATTGTTTCTAAGAACTAAGAGTCACATTGCTTTCTACCCTTTGCCATTTACTACAACTGAACCCTCAGCTGCGCTGTAGCACAATCTGCCAACAAGGAATAGCCACTAACTGAGAACCCCCTTTGTCCATGAGGACCCAACTTCTGTACAAATGTGGAAGGGAAACCATCCAAGATTTTGAATGAGTGGGCTAAAAGTATGCACCAGTATAGACACAAAATGTCTTACTGTGACAGGCTGCTAGAGGTATCAGGAGTTACATTTTGAGAAACACTTGAAGCCACAGAGCTATTTCTCTTTCAAACATATTGACACCACAGATGTAAAAAAAAAAAAAAAAAAAGCACACACAGTTAATGAGCCCACAACACACCCAAATGCTCTGAGAAGTTAGCCAAAACCTAGGAGAAAACTATTAATATGACACGGGCCAGGGAATAGGATCAGTGTGATTAGCTTGACTTGACAGCTGTGAATCGAAGTCAACCACACCATGTAACCTTCCTGGGAATGGGCAAGTTTTTTTCCCCCTAAAGATTTCATTACCAGTAACATGACATTAGGGACACAAGACATTACCCCGAGGCTCTAAAATAGATTTACTATCCATAGCCTCAGAGGCCTCTACTGAGATCTTGGCTGGGATTTCAACTAAAATTTTTTTTAAGTTTTTAAAAACTTTGGGAAAGATTCTGAATAGACAAGACAACCTAAAGTTGTTCCAGTTGTTCCTCAAATATGAAGTTATAACTCTTAAATTTACTTTAGGGGGGGTAAGAATTGCCTGGGTAATAGGAATGGGATGAAGACATTTGGTTCCCACTGATCTCGTGACCCCACTATGGAAAAGTGATTCTTAAAAATATGTAAATGTATACAAAATATATTAACACACACACACACACACATACACACACACAGAGTTTTCAGATCTATTACAACTTTGCCTGACTGCTGTCCCATCATCTTCAATGACACACACAATTTTGTCCGAAGTCTACTTACTTTGTATGACTGTTGCAGAGACAAAGCGTCTGACTCAGGAGTATAAATTCGCTAAAGAAATATATGACTATCGGTCATGTTTTGAATGTCAATGAAAATAGCTATTTAACCACAGCAGGGCTGTGGTAGAATCTAAGCTTTAGCCTATATTTATTTATGACTACATGATTGGGGGAAGGGGGAGGAACAGCAAGAATATGCCAGAAATTCCAAAGGAGAAAAAAATTTTTTAAATAGCTTTACTCTTAAGGCCTCTTTTTGTGTGTTGTTTACAACGCAACAACCAAAACAAGCTCCCTTCGGTGTGTACTCTCATACACCTCTGATGAGGAGGAGAGAGTTTTGGCTCTTACCTCAGAAAGAAAAACCAGAACTTATTTCAGGAACATCAAAGTAGCAACTGTCAGAAAGAAAGATTCTGACAAACTTACCAGGAGGTGTGCAGGCATCCGCAGGAGACTGGACAAAAGTGGACCGCCTTTTGGTTGGCATGGGCAAAGCCATTTTCTGTTCTTTATGCTTTGCCAGTGCAGCTTGAACTGCTTCTGTGTGAATATCTGAAAGAACAAATATTTGCATTTATTAGCTCCTGGCTCTTAAAGTATTTTACTTCTGTGGGCTGACCTATCACTGCCTCAGTTGTTGAAAAGGGGATGTTTAGGTGATTTTTATTTATCATTTGTGTTAAAATATAAGGGCTGATGTCACTTGCTTGTCACGTTGGCCACAAAAGAATTCAGCTCTCCACTTGAATGTCTAATTGGAATCTCAAAATTAACATAACCAGACAGAACTCATGACTCTCCACTCCTACCCTCAAACTCACTCTACATTTCTACAAATCAGACCATATTGTACACAGTATTTTGGATTCTTTGATTTTTTTTTTAACTCTTACATACTCCTACTGAGGTAGACAACAAATGAAGTGACTCTCTAGTTCCCAACAATTTCCTCTCCTCAGGTAATGGGCCCAACCCACATGCAAACCATAGGCCTGTCTGTGCTAAATAAATGTGCTCCTTATAAGAGCTGGACCAATCAGATCCTTTGCTGAGGGGGTGAGGGTTAAACACTGAATCAAGAAATTGCAGGTCCTAGAGCTGAGTCTTTATGGCATTGCCTTAGAAAGAAGAAAGGTCCTTGAACTTCATGATTGAGAGCCTCAGAATTGTTTCATTCAACCAAAAAAACCCTCACTGATTTAACTAGAAACATCTTTCTGTGTAAATACAGACCTACAATACAATTTTAAGGGCTGTATAGTATTTCACTGCATGATGTGCCATAATTTTTCTTTTTTTTTTTAATGTATCTTTATTGATTTCAGAGAGAGGAAAGGAGAGGGAGAGAGAGAGATAGGAACATCAATGATGACAGAGTCACTGATCGAGCCTGCAACCTGGACATGTGCCCTGACTGGGAATCAAACCCCGATCACCTGGATCCTAGGTCGACGCTCAACCGCTAAGCCACGCCCAGCCGGGCATTTATTTTTATTTTTATTTTTTGATGTGCCATAATTTCTTTAGGCAACCTTGTTTCCAAATTTTTGCGAATATTCATAGCAATTCTTCATAGCAAGACTAATTCAGTATTTTCACTTTATCACACATGTCTAATCCTATTTCCTTAAGATTAATTACAACAATTATTGAGATATACAGGATCTTCTCTTACATAACCATAGTACATTTATCAAAATCCAGAAACTCAAAATTGATACTATTATCTAACCCCCAACCCATATTTCAACTTAGCCAATAGTCCCAATAATATCCTCTATAGTTTTTCTGCCCCTGCTCTGGGACCCAATATAAAATCACACATTACATTTAGTTGTCATGTCTCTCTATCATCCTATAACCGGGAACAGTTTCTCAACCTTTGTCTCTCATTACTTTCACATTTTTGTACAGACTAGTTATATTGCAGAATATCCCTTAATTTTGGTTAATACTTCTTCATAATTACATTCAGATTCTGCATTTTGGCAGGAATACCACAGAACTAATGTGTCTCCTTGAAAGACGTCAGGATGCATCTGCCTTATTAGTGGTGACAGTAACTTTGATTACTTGGTTAAGATGGTGTCTGCTAAGTTAATCCACTATAAAGTCACTATTCTTCCCTTTGTGTAATTAGTTAATTTATGGGTGAATGCTTTTGAGACTACATAAATGTTATATACTTCACTAAACTTTCACCCACTAGTTTTAGCATCCACTGATGATTCTTGGCTGGATCAATTATTTCTATAATGGTTACAAAATGGTGGTTTTATAACTCCATCATTCCTTCTGTGTTTATTAGTTGGTATTCTAAGAAAAAGCTAAAGACCGCATATACAACAGCAGTCCCTTAATATTATAATGGAGATGAAAAATTCCTATCGCCAAGCGCTGTAGCACAACACATTCATTACTCATGTTTGTGGTGATGCTGGTGTAAACAAACAAGACTGCACTCCCAGTCATATAAAAGTATAGCACATACAATTATGTATAGTACATAATATCTGATAATGGTAGTAAACGACTATGTTACTGTTTATGTATTTAGTATACAGTGGTACCTCGGTTTTCGAATGTAACCTGTTCTAGAGACCACTTGAGTTCTGAAGCGTTAGAAAACCGAGGAATCAACAGCTGACAGCTGGGCCTCGGGATCTTGCCCTCAGCGGAAGCTGCGTGGCGTGTTCGAATTCCAAGGCGTGTTCGAAAACCAAAGCATTTCCTTCCAGGTTTACGGCGTTCATAAACCGAAATGCTCGTCAACAGAAGCATTTGAAAACCGAGGTACCACTGTATTTTTTATCATTATTTTAGAGTGTACTCTTTCTACTTACAAAAGAAAAGTTTGCTGTAAAATAATATGCTGTGTTACACTGGTAGCAGCCTCATACATCTCCTGTTTACTTTGTCTCCTGATTGTATTACTTTCTCTTGTGCTTGATTTCATCTCATGCTGTTTTATACAGTGGCATGCTGTACAGGCTTGCAGCCTAGGAGCAACAGGCTATACCATACAGCCTAGGTGTGTAGTAAGCTATACCATCTAGGTGTGTGTAGTGCACTCTGATATTTGCATAATGATGAAGTTGCCTAAGGATACATTCTCAGAACACATCCCTGCTGTTAAGCGGCACATGACTGTGCATCAATATGGGCCTATTGATTCTCACTTAATTCCATGACTATTCTGTTACTATCACTACTTATTTTGATGTTGTACTAATATTATCTCAGATTTGGCCAACAGGAGCCCCTTCAAACCAACTCTTACGTCCTTTTGACACATCCCCATCATTTTGAGCAGTTATTTATTTTCCGGTACAAGATGTTCCAGGCTCATATGGTACATTCCCTGCTCCAGCACTAAAATTATACATTTCTCCAAGGAGACTTGGCTCCTTTTAGTGGAGAATGGTATAAAATCCAAGATCTCAGCATCAGAAGTGCTCCGTGCTATTGGGGTATCTTTTTTCGAAGCCCTTACAGTGGATGAAGGAATATAAATATAAACATAAACATTCCCACATATATCTACATTTATTTCCATCTATATCTATATTAAAAACCATGAGTTCATATTAACACCTCCAATTCCAGTTTAACACCATAGAATTCATTCTACCCCTTCCTATTTGTACCTCCATTCTCTAATAGTAAGAAACCTGCTTCACAATATCCTCTATCTATTTCAACTTGTTCACTTAATCCTACAATACACAAAAAGTAGCTCTGAAACTGCTATCCTGTATCACTATGAAAAATAAATCTAACTAGAGCTCAATATTTGTTTGCAGTTCTTTCTGTCTTTAGTCTAAGTAAAAAGACTGTGTTCAGAAGCTATTTGGGTTAGTTCTCAACCCCTCCCTCTTTGGTGTGGTTATATTATTCTACTGAATAATACAATTAGGATCATTTGTTTTTATTTATATTCCTTAGATCCCTCCCAATGTTGCAAACATGTGACAATATAAGAAATATATATCTGGTCTCTTCCCCAGTCTCTGACACTAAGCTCCTAATGCCCTTGCAATTTTGTGAGTGATTGGAGTGCCTTCAGGATGGGGGCTGTTCACCAGAAAGACCAGGCCATAATTAGAAGCTGAGAACTTCAACCTCCCCCTCCATCCTCCAGGGAAGGGAGAGGGGCTAGGGATTGAGCTAATCGCCAATGACCAATGATTTAATCAAGCGTGCCTACATAATGGAACATCCACAAAAACCCTAAACAAAGGGGTTTGGAGAGCTTCTGGGTTAGTGAACGCATCCACATGCCTGCAGGGTGGTGCATCCCAGACTCCATGGGGACAGAAACTACTGGGCTTGGGTCTCTTCTGAACCTTGCTCTATATACCTTTTTATCTCACTGACCGTTCGTATCCTTTATAATAAACTGGTAACAGTATTTCCCTGGGTTCTGTGAGCCGATACAGCAAATTATCAAACCTGAGGAGGGGGTCATGAATACCCAATTTATGGCCAGAGGTGTGGATGGCATGGAAACCCTCTACTTGTGATTGGCATCTGAGGGTGGGGCAGTCTTGGGGGAAAAGAGCCCTTAACTTACGGAGTGTGCAATAACTCCAGGTAGTTAGTGTCAGAATTGTATTAAATTGTAGGATACCTGCATGGTGTATGCAGACTAGAGAACTGCTTGATGTAGAAAACCCACACATTTGTTGTCAGGAGTGGTGAGAGCAGAGAAACAGTTTTCCTTTAATTAAGACGATTCCAAAAGGTAACCTAAAGATGCATTACTGCCTCAAAAATTACTTTTACCCTAATTCCACCCACTATCTACAGGTAACCAATCTTCTTAATTATTGGTTTAAATAAGCAGGTAAGTGTCTATTTTCTCATTTTCCTGTCTTTCATACACAAAGGTAACATATTATATATATATTTTTTGTACTGTGCTTTTTTTCACTTAATAACATATCCTGGAAATCATTCTATATCAGCTATTAGAGATCTTCATTCTTTTTTATAGCTGCAGAGCACTCCATTCAATGTAAACCACAGTTTATCCAACTATCATGTAAGTGCTTTCAACATTTTACAATTACAAATAATGATGCAACAAGAAGCCTTGTGCAAATATATTTTTATACTGATGAGAATGTATCTTCAGGGTAAATTCCTACAAGTGAGACTCCTAAATCAAAAAGTGAATATATTTTAATTTTGTTACATCTTGCCAAATTCCCCTCCAAAAGAATATTATCACGTTGCCTTCCTATCAGTAATGTATAGCAGTGCCTGCTTCCCCACAGCCTCACTAACAGAGTGTGTTGTCTAGCTTTTTGATTGTTGCCAGTTTGGCAGTTGAGAAATGATATCTTAGTACACTTTCAATTTGCACTTCTTTTATCATTAGTGAGATTAAAAATCCTTACAGAGTATTTAAGGGCCACTTTGTAAGTGAAATGAATGCTCATGTCACCCGACCATTTTTCCATTGGGTTTCTGAGTTTATTTTCCCTTAATTTTTAAGAGTTCTTACTATGTAAGGAATAGTAGCTCTTTATCTCTGATATACGTTAGAA